AAAAAAAAAAAAAAAATCAGCGGGGCGTGGTAGCGCATGCCTGTAATTCCAGCTACTTGGAAGGCTGAGGTGGAAGGATCACTGGAGCCCAGCAGGTCAAGGCTGCGGTGGCCATGAGCATGTCACTGCATTCCAGTCTGGGCGACAGAGTGAGACTCCAACTCAAAAAAAAATAGAGACAGATTAATTAGCTGGGCGTGGTAGTGTGTGCCTGTAGTTCCGGCTATGTGGAAGGCTGAGGCGGAAGGCTCGCCTGAGCCCAGCAGGTCAAGGTTGTGGTGACCGTGAGCATGCCACTGCACTCCAGCCCGGGCAACAGAGTGAGACTCCAACTCAAAAAAAAAATAGAGACAGAGTCTCATTATTTTGCCTAGGTTGGTCTTGATCCTCTGGCCTCAGCCTCCCAAAGTATTGGGATTATAATCATGAGCCACTACGCCTGGCCCAAAAATCACAGTTCATAAGATCACACACCAGAGCCCTCCACACAGTCTTGGAGTGACCCAAGAACAGATGGAACAAACCATGGCTCCTAGAGGTATGTGATTGGATGTGCCCCCCCAACCCCACCCAGGGTCACATGCCCCGGCCAGCGCTCACCGTCACGTGAAGGGCTGCCAAGGCCTCATCGATGGCAGCCAGGTAGTCAGGCAGCAGGTCCAGCAGACAGGTGGCCAAAAAGACGCCCCCTGCGAAGCAGCTTACCAGGCTCAGGGCTTTCTGGCGGGAAGCTGGACAGGAGTGAAGCACAGGGGAATGAACCAGGCGGCGCTCCCCCAACCCAAGCAATGGCTATGCTTGCCCTCCCCGCCTCCTTGGGCCACCTCCCCCAGCCTCTTCCCCAAGCCAAGCCACCGGGCAGGGAGGCTCACCTGAGGCTCCGCGGTCAGCTCCCGGCCGGCGCAGCACACAGATGGGCACCAGGCTGCAGAGGAGGGTGAGCACCAGCAGCAGCACCAGGGCCCCCAACTTCACCTCCAGCCCCACCGGCACCGGGGGCTCGGACGCCCCCGCCTCTGGGCGCCACACCAGGAGCTCTGGCTCTCCCCAGGGCCCCATGGCGGCTGTGGTGGCTCCAGTGACTCTCAGACCTAGGAAGACAGACTAGAGTGGGTGGGGAATGACCCTGCGAGGAGAGAGGGGGCCAGGGAAAGGGGAAGCTTGGTCAGCAGGGAGCAGCTCCCTCACCCCGGCCACTTGCTGACCTGCCCCAGCCGGGGGTGACTCATTCGCTCCTGTACCAGGAGCACTCCTCTCGCTCCTCAGACTTTCTTTCCCAGGTGAGCTATTCCGGGAGACTGCAAAGGGGGAAACTGAGGCATGAGAGAGCCTGCGTGGATCTCGCTCGACCCCTCCACCTGGAGCCCCCGGGGAACGAGCCGCGCCGCCAAAGAGGACCTGGAGCTGGGGTCCCCGAAGGGACGCCGAGGTCGGGCCCCCACTCCCGAAAGAAGTGGACGAGGCGAAAGGGGTCAGGGCTGTGGAGAGGGCGCGGGGGGCTCCGCGGACCCCCCGAACGGGGTGAGCCAGGGCGACGGATCGCTCCCGCGCGCCCCTGCCCCAGCGCCATGCCCGAAAGCAGGGAGCAAGCGCTACACGCCGCAGGCTGGCACCGCGGGCACAGGGCCCGAGGAGAGGGGCCTGAGGGTCTGGGGTCCCGGCACGGACCGAGACGCCCCAGGGCGGTGTCTGGAAGTCCGGGCGCCGGGAGGCGGGTCCGAGGCCGCCAGCGTCCCGCGAAGCAGACCAAGTACGCGAGAGTTGGGACCCCGTCTCCCAGGCCCCGGGA